CCCCCCCCCCCAGCCCCACTGGAGCCCGCCTGTGGCTACAGTGCCCTCTGGGCCCCAGGATGTAAAAGTGAGCCTGGCATTTAAGGGTAGGGGGGAGACCAGGGCCTCTCCAGACAGCTTGGTAGGGATGGTGCCAGGGCCCTAGCTTTCCTGCACCTGTGTATACCGTGTCCCAGTCCAAAGGAGAGCTCTTTGTGTGGACCCTTGGCTATCCCTGCCGGACTTTGGGTCCCACTTTAGGGGAGGTGGGTTCACACTGTCCCCTGATGGTTCCCCCTGAGCTTCTCTGTTGCTGGGGAGGGGTCGGCTGGGCAGGCCTCAGTGAGGCTTGCATACCTCAGCTGAAGGGTCCATGGGAAACTGTGTGCCTCCAGGCAGGAGTGCGTGGCCACCGAGGAGAACCCCCAGGTGTACTTCTGCTGCTGTGAAGGCAACTTCTGCAACGAGCGCTTCACCCACTTGCCGGAGGCTGGGGGCCCGGAAGGTGAGGGCTGTGGGGGGGGCAGGCTGGGGCCTCTCCTTGGCCCTGGAGCTCTCCTCTCAGCTCCTGAGTTGGGTGGGCAGTGGCTGCAGGGCTCTCTGGTCTGGCCTCTGAGGTGTGTGGGTGGGCGGGCTGTGTGACACAGGGCTCCGTGTGTCCCCCAGTCACGTACGAGCCACCCCCGACAGCCCCCACCCTGCTCACGGTGCTGGCCTACTCGCTGCTGCCCATTGGGGGCCTCTCCCTCATCGTGCTGCTGGCCTTCTGGATGTACCGGCATCGCAAGCCTCCCTACGGCCATGTGGACATCCACGAGGTGAGACAGGGCTGGCGGAGGGCAGGGGTAGAGGTGGGGTGGCCTGGCCAGACCCTCTTAAGCCCTCCATCTCCCCCAGGACCCCGGACCTCCACCTCCGTCCCCTCTGGTGGGCCTGAAGCCTCTGCAGCTGCTGGAGATCAAGGCTCGGGGGCGCTTTGGCTGTGTCTGGAAGGCGCAGCTCATGAATGACTTTGTCGCTGTCAAGATCTTCCCACTCCAGGTGAGTGAGTGAGGGGCTTCCAGGTCATCCACCCCTGCTGTCCAGCTTGAGCTGTCCCACCCCAGGGCATTCCGGGCTGAGGCAGGTGGGATGAGAGAGAGGCGGGCCCCACTGAAATTTTCTTGTAGGGCTGGGGTAGGACTTTGCAAAACCTTGGTCCACTCTGGTTTTCAAGGGTTTGTTTTTGACATCAGGTTCTGCTTAGAGGCCTTGGACACCAGGCCTGGCTCTGCATCTCATTTGGTGTGTGACACAGAGCCACTCACTCCCCTCCCTGGGCTTCAGTGGCCTTGTTTGTAAATCCGGTGCTAGCGCTGTGTGATTTCCGGGATCACTGTTGGCCTGTACTCCGGGGCCCAGCTCAGTCCTGGTCATCTGCCTGCCTCCCTTACAGAGCCGAGGCTGGCTGAGGGGGGCGGGTGGGGGCGTGGCTGGCGCTTCTGCCTCAGGGTGGTGTGGCGGCAGTGGGGTTTAAGCCGCATCCCTGCCTTAGGACAAACAGTCATGGCAGAGTGAACGGGAGATCTTCAGCACCCCTGGCATGAAGCATGAGAACCTGCTGCAGTTCATTGCCGCTGAGAAGCGAGGCTCCAACCTTGAGGTGGAGCTCTGGCTCATTACGGCCTTCCATGACAAGGTGAGTCATGCTGATGAACAGGGGCTCCTGAGATGAGGTGGCCTTCCACCGTAGGATGACCCTTCCTAAGTGTGGATGTGAGTGTCTATAAGAACTCCTGACTCTGGGATACATTCTTATGAATAAGTGCAGTGACTTCATGATTAACACCCTCTGACACCCCCCACCCTGCAACCCCTCCTGGCCTCACATACCTTCCATGTCAGTCCCAGTCTCCCAGGAGGGGAGTCTGCCATTGGTCCACTGAGACAGTCCTCCCAGGGCCAGGCTGGGTCCTGTCCTGTCCTGTCCCCAGAGCCTGTGCCCAACTTCTGTGCTGTCTCCTGTAGGGCTCCCTCACGGATTACCTCAAGGGGAACATCATCACGTGGAATGAACTGTGTCATGTGGCAGAGACAATGTCAAGAGGCCTCTCGTACCTTCATGAGGATGTGCCCTGGTGCCGTGGCGAGGGCCACAAGCCGTCTATTGCCCACAGGTACCTGGCTTAGCAGTTGCCCTCCCTGCGCTTGGTGTGGAGCTGCAGAGAGGGTTGGAGGGTGAGAGCAGGGCCTGGGGTGGGGGGGGTGGAGTCTCCGATTCATAAAGATGCTTAGCTGCTCTGTGGTGGGCCCACCTGGACCTTCCCCGCTTTCCACCTGTGTGTCCTGGGCCTGATGTGGCCTCGAAAGCTGGTTTTCTCATGCCCTCTGGTGGCCACACGAGGAAGTGCTGACTCCCATTACTTTGGAGGGTTGGTTCAGCAGTTCTCAAACTTTTTGGTTAGAATCTCTTTACATTCTTTTTTTTTTTTCTTTTTCTTTTTAGAGAGAGAGAGAGTGTGTACCCGTGCTCAGTGGTGGGGGGAAGGGCAGAGGGAGAGGGAGAGAGAGAATCTGAAGCAGGCTCCATGCCCAGCGTGGCTCCATCTCACCACCCTGAGATCATGCCCTGCACGGAAATCAAGTCAGATGCTTAACCGACTGAGCCACCCAGGCGCCCCAGGATCTCTTTACATTAAGAATTTCTGTGTACATGGGTTATATCTACTGATATATGCTGGATCAGAGTACACATCTGTTAAGTGTCAGAGTGTCAGAGTGATGACATCACATGTATATGTAGCCTCTGGAAAACTCTTCTCCTGAGAATGAATTTACAAAAAGACAAATAATGGATTCTGAATAAAAAAATTCTGGTCTTGCAGTTCCCCTGAAACAGTGTCAGGGACTCTTTAGGGTTCTGGGGCTATCCCTTGAGACCACCATATTAACTGGTCATGGGAGTCCTCACTAAATGCAGGCACTACTCTGAACACTTAGAGACACTAGGCCAGATCAGTCTTGTCACCTGAAGGGAGAGGTCTGTGAGACACTCGTCATCGGTGAGATAGGGGGTGTTTTCCCAGCCCCGTCATACAGAGCAAGGAACAGTGCGGAGAGGTTGAGTAGGTTGTCATCAGACTTAGTTTAGTGTGGTTCTGTGCCTACGAGGGAGGGGAATGAGCCTTGGATCCCAGGATTCAAAGCTCAAGGGCCCCTCATGGTAATAACATAATGACATTTAAGGTTGACAATGTGAAATTGCAATTTTTGTAGGTCAAAAATGTTGATTCTTCCACATGGTTCAACCTAATAGTAGTGCACAGTGAGTGTGCTGGGGTGGCCCTAAGCATGTGTGCTTACTACTCCCTGAGCTTTATCCTCACAACAAGACTGGCACAGGTGCTGGGGAGACTGAGGACCAAACGTACCCCTGCTAGCACGAGGTGGAGCTGAATGCACATACCGGCACCCTGCTCTACCCTGGCGCGAGCCCCTCGGGCCTGCACAGAAACCCGGGCAAGTTCATTCAACTTGTCACTCCCATCCCGGGCCATGTACATTTTTCCCCAGAAGCCTTCATCCCAGGCCTGTAGGCCTGACCTCGCCCCCTCTGAGAATGCAGAGGCTGGCCTTTGATACTGTGGGGACTGGAATGGGGTCTGCCCAGCTATTGTGGTAGGTGTTGCTTTGACAGCTGTGGCAGAAGTGCGCTGAGGGATTCTCACATCGAGGCGGGTGAGGGGTGGAAGGGTGTCCTAAAGCTGCCTGCCTGTGCAGCCTCATAGAACTCCACCCTGGTACAGGCCCTGCTCCCCAGATAGGGTGGGATGGCCTGGTCTGGGGTCTATTGGGGCTGGAAGGCACAGGCTCCAGTATCTTGGGGGTCAAGGTGGGAAGCCAGGAGCGAGGAGCACAGTATTCACCTTCATCTCAGTCCACTTGTCTCCCCAGGGACTTCAAAAGCAAGAATGTATTGCTCAAGAGTGACCTCACAGCTGTGCTGGCTGACTTTGGTCTGGCTGTTCGGTTTGAGCCAGGGAAACCTCCGGGGGACACTCATGGGCAGGTAATGAGCCTCAGGGGTGCAGGAGGGGGGCTGGCACAGGGGTGGACACTGCCCTTCTGGTGCCCGGCTGGCAAGACACAGGGAGCAAGGGTCACTGTGAGCTCAGAGCTGTCGGGGAACTCCAGGAGCATCACTCGTCTTCCCCGTGGGGCACCCAAGCCTGGAGGGCAGCACGACCTCAGAGGCCAGTCAGTCAGGCCCAGCTGCCCCGCTGGGGTCGGTGCGCATCCTTGTAGCCTCAGTCTCTCTTTCTCTCTTTCAGCAGAACTGTTAAGCAACGTAAAATAGAAGGAACTGTACTAAGAATCCAAACCAAAAACCTAGAAAACGTACCTAAAAGTTAAGCCTGAGGAAATTCTCCTAGAACAATTGCTGTCAGTATTTTTAGGTATTCTTCAGCCCCTCTGTTTTTGATCTTAGTCTCAGGGAAACAGCCACACCATGTGGGTGGCCCCTCGTGCTGCTGAGGTTTAGAGTAAAGAGGCAGCCGTTCCCGTGTTAGAGTACTGTTGTCTCGAGTGTGTGATATTTACAGTTATCCTTCAGGTGTCATACGTGCACCATGACCTCTTGTGAGCTCCCCGCGAACATGGTGAATCAAGGGTTGTCCCTGTCCTCTATGCCGCCATCCTGGCCCTGTCTGGTGCCCTCGGGTGGTGGCTCTTGTGTGCTGCGGTGAGTCGCTTTGTGCGTGGCTGTTGATGGGACTCCCTCCCCTGTCCTCGTGTAGGTGGGTACGCGGCGGTACATGGCCCCTGAGGTGCTTGAGGGAGCCATCAACTTCCAGAGAGATGCTTTCCTGCGCATCGACATGTACGCCATGGGGCTGGTGCTGTGGGAGCTTGTGTCCCGCTGCAAGGCTGCGGATGGTGAGTGGGGCGTCCAGGGGGTGGGGTGAGGAGCCACGAGCCCTTGGGGTGACCCTGCTGGGCTCTCCATCGCCCCCAGGCCCTGTGGATGAGTACATGCTGCCCTTTGAGGAAGAGATCGGCCAGCACCCGTCACTGGAGGAGCTACAAGAGGTGGTCGTGCACAAGAAGATGCGGCCTGCCATTAAGGATCACTGGCTGAAGCACCCGGTGAGGGGCCTGGGTGGCAGGGGCCTGTGCAGGGCAGCAGAGGGATGGAGAGAGAGGACGCCTCAGGCAGCAGGACCGTCTCCTCCTCCCCTGTGGGGCCAGAGGCCACTTAGGGCACTGTCTCCCTTCCACCAGGAAGGTGTCTGGGGAGGTTCCAGGCTCGGCAGGGAGGCGGCTCCGGGTTTGGGCCCAGAGTGATGGGGCCTGACAGTCTGTTTCCTCGGGGTCCATGTGGCCTCCATGTGGACCATTTGTGGAGGGGAGCCACTGGCCCTGGGCCTGACACGTCTGGGTTCGAATCCTGGATCTGCCCATCAGTAGCTGTGTGGCTTCTGGCAAATTGCTTTATTCCTCTGAGCCTTTGTCTCCTCAGGATAGTAATAGATTTAACTGGTTATTGTAAATTGTTTGGCAGGACACCTATCCATAAATGCTTACTATGGATTAGCTCTGATTAAATATTCTCTGTTCTCTGCCTTCATTATCTTTCTGGGCATGGACTGAGCCACGTGGCATCTTGTCTCCTCCAGGCTGGGGATATTGTACAAAAGACCCCTGCCATCTGAACTGTTTTTCCTGTCTTGGAAAGACACTTGCCAATTCAGCTTCATTGAGCCCCTCCCCCTGCGCACCTCCTGGTCCTTTCAGAAACAGGACAGCCTTGAGGTCACTGGAGGCTAGCAGTCTACCGTACATAGCATCAGGGGCCAAGGGCAGTTGCAGTGCTGCTCCCTGGAACCCGGGGCTGCAGATGGAAAAAACTGAGACATGGGGACATATAGGCTGTGCCAGGGTCTGTACCTTCGCCTCAGACTTTCTCAGTCTTCCAGGGCAGACATGCTGGGGTCGCCGGGCCAGTTCCCTGATGTGGAGCCCACGGTGCAGACAGATCTTGGGGTGGTCTGCTGCCGAGCAGACCGGAGAGCCCCTGGATGTGGGCATTTGCCTTTCCTTGGCTCCACTGTGTGTGTGCCAGCAGAGGGTGTCACGCCACGTGCCCCAGACTCTTGGGAGGGGCCCCAGGGCTTGTGGGGAGTAGGGTGGGATGAAGCCCTCCTCCGGTCCCCACTGTAACTGAGGCTGCACTGTGGGCCCCTACATGATTTGGGATTCACGTAAGATTTTGTTTGAATATCACCGCCCCAAGGCAAGCAGCTGGGTCTGCCCCAGGAGGGGCCTGGGTTCCCGACCCCATCCCTTCCTATGTTGAGGCTGTGGAGGGAGTCCAGTGGGCTCAGGATGGTAGCTGCTGGGAGGGAAGGCATCCTGATTTCTGCAGTGTCCCCTGGGCCCCTGCTAGTTGACCTGCTGCTGGGGTTGGGACCAGTGGGCTCTCTGGCTGATCCTTAGGAGCATCCTCAAGTTTACCTGTCCACCATGCTTGTCTTCATTGAGGGGCACTGACAAGTCTGTCCTTTCCCTCTCCTCACCGACGTGCAGGGCCTGGCCCAGCTCTGCGTGACCATTGAGGAGTGCTGGGACCATGATGCAGAGGCTCGCCTGTCTGCGGGCTGCGTGGAGGAGCGGGTGTCCCTAATCCGGAGGTCAGTCAACGGCACTACCTCGGACTGTCTTGTCTCCCTGGTGACCTCCGTCACCAATGTGGACCTGCCCCCTAAGGAGTCGAGCATCTAAGCCCAGGAACGAGTGGATCTGAAGAGGAAAGGAAAAAAAGTTGGGTTTTGTTTTGGAAATCCCATAACACCAACAAACACATAAAATGCAGCTGCTATTTTACCTTGACTTTTTATTATTATTATAATTATTATAATTATTATTATTAATATTATTTTTTGGATTGGATCAGTTTTTACCAGCACATTGCTCTACTGTATCGCAAACAGCGGACACGTCAGCAGGCGTTGAGGTGCTGAGCTGTGAATGCAGAACCAGCGCCATGCTGAAGAGCCTCAGCCACCTCCTGTCCTTTGGGGTTCATTTTTCCCGCTTTCTCTTTGTTTGTTGTCTCAGAATCTGTGACACAAAGAAACCCATCTCCTGTCTTAGGAAACTTAATGCTGCAAACTCTACCTAGAGGAACCTTTGAAGACTGTTACATAAGAACACACCTTCCTCAGAGGAGGAATTTCCCCCTGCCCTCGTCCCCTTCCTGCCCCCCCCCCCGCCTTTATTGTTTTTCTCCCTTTTTAGACAGTGAGTTTAAGAAACAGCAGATGTGTCTTTCACGGATTAACGGGTGTTGTCCTGACCGAGGAAAAACGGGGATGAGAATGAGGATGGTTTGGACCGGAGTTGGAAGGGGAGGACAGAGCTGGGGATGGGGTTTGGAACAGAGCTACACTGGACTCGGGCACATTCGGAGCAACATCCTTTGCTAGGAGGCTACTTCTCAGGTAACCAGGATTCGAGGGGAAGGACCGTGTGGAGGCTGAGCATTAACGGCCAGAGCGGGGTTTGGAGAAAGTCTGAAAGCAGGTGTGGCTCTGACCCATCTGTTGGCCCTGACCAGTTTTTTCCCACTGACTTGGGCTTGGGCGTTGGACAAAACGTTTTCTCTGCCCTCATTTTAAGGTTAGGTAGGGGTAGAAATCATCATGTTTTAGTGACTGTATTCCTCATAAGACAATGCTGTAAATATCTTAACGGAGGAAGAAGTTAAAACACGTTGCTTCCTCCTGGTGCAGTTCAGGGAAATGCCCACGGGGCGCCCTGCACAGCCAGGGCAAGAGGATTCCCTGGGTGGGCTGCCACGGCCTGCCTCTGAAGACCCGAGTCCTGCAGGGCTGGCTCTGCCTTGTGTGGTGACATTGCTGTCCCTTTATGTGGCTCGTGCACACGGCTTTCTCCAGACCCCTCAAAGAGGTGCATATTCTAAAAACCGTTTGTCTATTATGCCATAACCTTGCTCTAGTCAGTGAATGTTCCTAATGCTGCTGTTTCAACATTTGAATTTTTTTAATTTATGAAACATGCAAATTTTTTAAAAATGAAACACACATCCACATATACACACATGCTTTGCAATGTGGCTTCCGAGGTTTAAATTTTGAAAAGTAAAAGAATTAAAACTTCACGACCACAGACCACCTCAAACCAGAAATACCTCAGAATTTTCTACTTGTGTAAGTTTTATTATATATTTTATTAGTTGTGTTGTCTCGTAGTAAGTATATTTTAATGTAAGTTGGCTTTTATGACAAGAAAATTTAAAAGAAATAGAGAAAAAGAAAAAAAGTTTGAGTCTTCTAGGGAGTGCTACCATTTTTGTTTGAGAACGCCCCCTTGTAAATAATTGTCAACTGTAGATTGGCTGTCTGGGCCGTCTGGGCATTCATCACTCTTGTTTGTGAAGGCGTTTCCCTCTGGTTTCTCGAGACTTTTATTTAAAAAGTGGATCTCTTTCATCTTGAGGGTAGGTGAGTTGGTGAGCGATGGGGAGAGGTTGACCTGGGTGAGAACGGGAGAGGGGCGCCTCCTCTTGACTTAACGTGGAGGTTCAGATCTTTCCCTCAACCTGACTGGTCTGGTCAGTGTTCAGAATGACAGGTAACCCCACTTTAACTTGGTCAGACTGTGGCCCTTAGACGTGCTTGAGGTCATTTTCCTCGAGCCGCAGCGACCGTGGAGGAGGCCGGTGGCGGCTGTGTGAGTCCACCCGGTGACTCGGTGCCTCGGGGCAGTCTGGGATAGAGGGGCGTGTCCGGCGTGGCACGCTCGCCCCGTGCCCTGGAGTCAGTCGGAGCGCGCATGCTCCGCGCTCGTGCGCCCTGCGCGTCTGGGGCCCGCCGCCTGGCTGTGTCCCTTTCTCTCCGTCCTTGGGCACAGGGTGCTGTGGGAGGTGAGTGTGTGTCCCTCGCAGAGCTCAGTTTTTGCTTCGTGGGTCAAGCTGTGAGCTGGCCATGGTGGTTACAGGGACAGGGTTTTTGTTGTTGTTGTTGTTGTTTTGGGGTAAGCTGTGTTGTCTTTTTTTTTTTTTTTAACTATTTTGTGCTGTGGTATTTTTCTTCCCTCAGAATAATTTTTAACAGCAAAACAGGCCTTACAGCAGTTGCTTTTCTTTTCCACTTCTTTCTTTAAAAAGCTTTAAAATATTTATTGAAAAGTGCCATATCTAATTTCTTTAGCTTTCACCTCAGGCAGTGCATCTCTACTTTTCCAGCATCTGCTTTGCACCCTCAGCAACAAATAAACCACTAACACATGTAGCTGATTCGCCACAAGAATGATCAGATCCCTTGTCCTGCCCAGTGTGGAACACTAAACCCCTGCCTCTCCATTTGGTTTTAGATTTTCTCTGGGTGATTTTTCTTTCAGCTTGATTCTTGTCAGAACACGTTTTTGGCCTGGCTGTGGAGGGTTGAGCTGTGGCTTTGGTGTGGGATCTGCTGGTCAGCTCGCAGTACCAACAGGGTGGGCCTTCCCGTTGGCCTACATGCCTTTTATCCGGGTGGGCTCCCTCTTTGCTGACCCTGTGCTCAGCTGCTTTCGGGCCTTGGCGCCAGAATGAAGTGTCTGGAGATGGTTCCTGTGTGGTGTGGCTGGGGAGAGGGGAGTCTGGGAGCGCCAGCTCTTTGGGCTTCAGGCTGCCTTTCCCTCATGCTGTGGTGTAAAATGCACCCATCAGGCAGTATCCCTGACTGCTGCTGATGACAGAAGAGGGTGGGTGATCCTTTTCCAGGGCACGCCCCTGGGGGTCTGGGCGGGTCTTTTGCCTCAGATAAAGTGTCTGTGCTGTCATGTACTCTTTGGGGAGCAAACCATTTAGAGCTCTGGTTTATGTTTATTGGGTTATAGGGCCTCTGCCTGTGTTCTTTAACACAAAGATTTCATGCAGTGTCTACTTCTGGAGGGCTCAGAGAACTACCCCCTCCACCCCCCCCAAGCACCTGTGGAAGGCTGCTGGGAGTCTGGCATCATTTTGCCTGCCTGTGGGACAGGCTGCCCCACCTAGGGTGAGAGGGTGGCCAAGTCAGGGGAGGGAAGGAGCCAAGGATCCTTGCTCCTTCCTTTCTAGTGTTCTTCCTTCTACACAGGCTCCTGGCTGTGGGGTGGGGCTTTGGGAGAGAATGTGTTCCGTTTGAAAACGTCCGTGATCACTGGGAAGACATCCCAAGCCAGAGAAATACAGGAATGAACGAGGAGGAGGAAATGAGTGGGGACAGAGGCCACCGTGTCACACTGTCCCGCAAAGAATTCTTAATGATGGGCCAGGGGAGGCCCTGGACATAGTCCTTAGGGGCTGGCATCAGCCAGGTTTTCTCCTGGGACCACTGGTCCCTCCCAGGAGTCCTTTGAGTGAGTTACTCAGGGTGAGGGCTGTAGGTGGAGTGTTCTTAGGAGGGAGACCTGGCTGTGAAGGGAAGTGGTGAGTATTTTTGGCCCATCATCGGCCTTCACTGTTGAACATGGCTGGCTTGTCCTTCATCGTTCAGCATGGCTGTGTAGGTATAGGTGCCCGGAGGGATCAGGGCTGCCTGGGGAGGGGTTCCCCATGTGTGCCAGCATCTTCTGACTCAGAATTCCTCCTGTCTGGACTTGGGTATGTGTGCAGAACAAGAGAGATCTTGTTCAGCTTTGAACATCTTCAAGTGGCTTGAAGCCCCTACTCACATATTCTCAGCCCAGTTCAGAATCTCTCCTCTCCAGGCCGCTGAGCTAGTTCTTCACTGCCCCTAGGGGCCAGGCCAGTTTTCTTGTCATGGCTTGTCATGGCTTGTCATGTCATGCTTTAGAAAGCAAAGCAGGTGACCCAGCACTTTTCTGCTGTCACCTTTCTCTCCAGTTGCCATGTTCTTGCTCCCTGCTACCCTGACACTCTGAGTGCTTGAGCTATGTGTGTGGTGTGTCTTTGGTGGCAAGCCCAGCTGCCCATGTGTGTCTATGTGTCTGTTTGTGGCTCAGAAAGCCTGTCACGTGGCCCGATGCTCTGAGCCATGAGGGTAGGGAGGCGGCTGTTCTACGTGGAGTGGGAGGACTGGGTGGCCCTCTTGCAAATGGAATTTTGCTTTTTTTAGGATGAAGTGTAAAGTTCCCAGCACATACTGGTAATACAAGGATTTGGTGGTTTTTAGCAATACAGTAAGCAGATGCATGTAAGTGTTTAGACTTGGTACTAGAAGTCGAACAGCCAAGTGTTATTCCTGAGAACTTGGCTCACTAGATGAGTGTCTGAATTGGAAAGCATTTCCTTGTAGCTAACTCAGTTTGTCAGTCCCAGCTATTTCAGTAGCCTGTTGGGTTCTTAATGGCTCATCTTTGGAGAGATAGCCAGGCTTGGTTCACATTTCAGGGGCTCTCTAGACCACACCTTTCTAAGAAGCACAGTGAATTGACTCATCTACCCTCCCCACCTCCCATCCAGGGTGAGCAGCCAGAAAGGAAAGAGGGCAAGGTAGCTTTTTCTCCTCATTTGGGTGCCATGAATTCCTTAGTTAATGGCTGTTTATAAAAGCTGAACTAATAAATTAGTCAGTAGCTAATAGGTGTTCAACCTAGTAATGACGAGTTTAAGTCTTGATCAACGGTAATGTTTTAGGTAAAGAAACAGGTCCAGTAATTCAGTTGATGACCTGTTTATCTTCTCAGTCTAGATTTAATGAATTCAGGGTTATATGCATAGTTGTTTAAGTAAGATTCCTGGTAGTTGATTTGTAACCAGCAATCCACCTATGAATGTATCCCAAACCTTTAGAAGGCTTGGAAAAGTTTTTTAAAATAATGATTTAGTTTTGTAGCAAAAAGAAATTGAAGTTTAAAATGCCCCCCTTGGAAATGAATTCAG